GGTATTAAATAGTAACTCTTGGCCCTGCAGTTACTGCAGATGCTCATTCAAAACACATCTACTTCACTGGTTCCTCAATTCAGTGTTCAATCTGAATATTTAATCTACATTGTAGAGATACTGTATTCTCATTCAGTTCCCACAAATTACGGAAGGTATCGGTAATTGTGAGTAGTACTTTTTTATGCATTTGGAAAAATAACTTAAAGTTAACTTCTGAGGCAAATTCTTACACATGTTGCAGTCCTAGTACATTTTTAATGTTCACCTTGAAAATTTAAACTTGAAAATCACATGATTTTCATCACAATCACAAACCTCTCTAGAAAGAAAGAAATGCTGGCTTTGAAGTTCATAGGAGCCTGGTATAGCTGGACAATAGCTCTGGTGAAAGTCCAGAACATTGCTTGTTTTTCTCTCTGACTTGATCTAATACAAGTTTAAAAAAAAAAAAAAAGTTAGAAGTCTAACTTTGCTTACAACTCCTACTCTTGCTTATATCTCTAAAAGCAACAGCTACAGTGACACTTCCATATGGAAACTCTGACATTGTTCTCAGCAGGACTTTTCTTAGAACCCTTAACATGACTTTGTGTTTTGTTTTTTTTTCCTTTTCCTGAATACTGTAATTGTTCATGGCAGATGCAGATAACCAAGAATTTCAGAATTGAAACCTGATAGTATTTCACAGAATAATGTATTTTTGTGTTATGCTAAGTGTGAAGTATTTTACTGGAATACAATTTAGAGCACAGTGCAAGCCATTTTTTAAATTTTCAGAATGGAAAGATATGGCATTGTAAGGATGATTTTGTAAGGAGTTACAGAATGATGCAGTAACCTTTAGAACAGTGCTTTGAGCAAAATGCGTTCCTAGGTGCTAATGAACTTTACAACATCTACTCAATCACAATACTTGGTCCAGCAACAGAATGCACATTGAATCGTCGCAAGATGGGTTGGGTTGAACTAAGCAATTCCGTTGCTGTGTGTAGAGTATACCTGCGATTGAGCATTTTTCTTGATGTGTGAATGTTTGCTTTGTCAGGATCGTAAGCTTTCAAGTCTTGTTTTGTATTGTTCCTAGGTGGCTTGTGAAAATGGTAATTGCTTTCAGTGTAGCTCATATGAAGCACATTGAGGAAATAACATGCTGCTAACTGCATCCTGTTGGTTCATAACACAAGCAGTTTTCTAATATTGCTTTGTTTTATTTAAATTTAGGACAAGTTCCAGGCCCACCTCGCCAGAGAAACATGAAAAAGTGATCTGAATGCTTCTGAAATCCGTACCGCAAAACCTCCTAGTTATTGGTTCCTTCTGAGTAATTCCCTGGCGAATGGAAGCACTTGTCATCTCTTGTGCAAATGAATAAAGGGCAGTGCTTTTACATCAGATTTTTATATGACTTTTTATTATATTTTAGTACTTTTAAGAGGAAATTACTTTTCGCTAAGAACAATGTTTTACATTGTTGTATGGAATTACTACTAAGTTAACAGCTGAAGTGTGCTGGCATCACTGTATTGTCAGTTGTCTGTTTATTTTTCTATAGTGTATAGCTGGATTCTTTGTTAAAAAAAAGTTATTAAAATGTCATTTTATTAGTGAATTCTTACAGTGTATGGTTATGTTTCCACCTTACAAATCTTTACTTTTTTTTTCCTGTTAAAATTATTTGGGTTTTAATATTTCTGTAAGATCATTGACTAACAGAACATCTTAAAAAACAAAACAAAACAAAACAAAAAAACCTCCCAATTCTCAAAGATGCATGTAGTCTTCTGTGAATTTAGGATTTGCTTTCTTTTATTTCCCTCAGTTTCTCATGATTTTCCAGTTCAGTGTCAAGCCACTACTCCCTGAATTCTTCTGTGATTGAGCTTGGTCTAATACAAGTAACAAAAAAAGTCTAACCTTGCTTTCAAATCTTACTCTTGCTAATATCCTTAAATCAACAGCTACAAAGGTGCTTCCGTATGGAAACTCTGATATTGTTCTTAGGACTTTTCCTAGGAACTTTAACACCATGACTACACTCACAATATATTTGGTGTTCCTGGATAATCAGTATTACTGTATTCATGCCTAGAGTTTGTGTCACTTGGCCTTATGCATGTGGAGGTCTGGTACCAACCTTTGGAGCAGGAAGATAATGCTCCTGATGAGTTTTGGAGGTGCTGGACTGCCCCTGCTACTCTTGGCTCCTCAACAGTTGTTTCCGCCTGTTGATTGTAGCCTGACTCAACAAACTGTCATCCCTGACAACTCTGGGTATTTTTGTCATTTTCTGGTGGGAGCACCCAATGCTGTATTTCTGGGTTACAGGAGCAGAGCAGGACACTATGCAGGCTCATGCCTGCAGCCCTGAGAAAGCATAGCTGCCCTTGGGCAGTGTTGTGATTTGGTGATGAATCTCCCGTGAGTCATTAAGCACCTAGGTGCTATTTCCCACAGGCCTGGTGTAGGTAGAGAACATTTCAGTTCTTCCTTTGTCCCTTGCCAGGCTGTTGGTTCCAGAGGCAAGCATGCAGACAGGAGCCACGTGGTGCTCTGCAGACCACAGCTGAGCTTTGTGCCAGCCCCTTAAGAACTTCTATTAGAGATGACACAGCAAGGCATCCTGGCTATTCTTCAAGAAATTAATAATGCACTGCCTTCTTCATGTTCAGTAAGAGCTTCCGCAATGCCTACTGTCACTAATAGTGAGCTAGCACTGTGCTAATTCTATAAACTTTGAGAGCTTTTCCTAGACAGGCTGAAGGTTGCATTGGAAAAAAAAAAAAAAAAAAAAAGGATCTCACCCACGTTGCTGTGAAGGCTGACTCAGTCTTCCACTGTCCCTGATAATGGATCTGTACATTGTCCTATACCTGGGTTAGGGTCAGTGTGTGCATATGATCCAGTTTGTGCAATGTTATCTTCACACATGTACTGACTATTATCCTATGACAGCTATTGGAGAACCTATTATACCTGATTTGGCCTAAATTTAAGAGATTTAATGAAAAAAAGCAGTACCTAATTTGGTATAAAATCTAAGTTAACTTCTGCAAAGTTCTATACCCATTCAAATTGACAAAGTAAATTTATGCTGGATCAGTAACTTTAAAAAAAAAAAAAAAGAATCTGTTGCGGGAGAACAGAGAAGGTCTTGTGAGGGACATTGCAATTGGCGGCCATCTTGGTCATAGTGACCATGAAGCGGTTGAGTTTAAAATTTTTGGTGACAGGAGGAAAACTGCCACCAAAACATCAGCCCTGGATATGAGGAGAGCAGAATTCAGGCTGCTGAGGGAACTCGTTAGCAAGGACCCCTGGGAAACTGCTTTTGAAGGTTTGGCATCCATCAGTGCTAGTTAGTCTTTAAGCGCTGCCTCCTAAAAGCACAGGATCAGGCAATTCCAAAATATCAGAAGTCAAGCAGGCGGGGCAGTAGGCCAGCTTTGTTGACCAGAGATCTTCTGGATCTTAGGCACAAAAAGAAAGTGTATGTCTGCTGGAAGCAGGGTCAGGCAACGTGGAAGGACTACAGGTATGATGTTTGCATTTGTAGGGAGAAAATTCGTGCGGCCTAAGCCCAATTAGAGTTTACGCTGGCTAGGTCTGTGGGAGAAGATAAAAAGGGCTTTTTTAAATATGTGACGAAACATCACACCAAAAAACATCACACAATGGGTGAACAATTGGTTGACAGGTAGGGCTCAAAGGGTTGTGGTAAATGGGTCCACATCAGGCTGGCAGATGGTCATCAGTAGAGTCCCCCAAGGCTCCATTTTACAGCCAGTTCTCTTCAATGTTTTTATAAATGGTTTGGATGTAGGACTAGAAGGTATTTTGAACAAATTTGACGATGATACTAAACTTGGAGGAGTTGTTGACTCTGCTGAGGGTGGAAAGGCCTTGCAGAGAGATCTGGACAGATTGGAGAGCTGGGCAAACACCAACCGCATGAAGTTTAACAAAAGCAAGTGCTGGGTCCTGCACCAGGGACAGGGCAAACATGGCTATACGTACAGACTGGGGAACAAGACACTAGAGAGCAGCCCCACAGAGGGATCTGGGGGCTGTGGCTGACAGCAAGCTGAATGTGAGCCAGCAGTGTGCCCTGGCAGCCAGGAGGGCCAAATGTAACCTGGGGTGCATCAAGCAGAGCATTGCTAGTCGGTCAAGGGAAGTGATTATCCTGCTGTACTCTGCGTTGGTGTGGCCTCACCTCGAGTACTGTGTGCAGTTCTGGGCACCACATGCCCGGAAAAGAGGAGCCTGAGGGGAGACCTCATTGCAGCCTACAGCTTCCTCATGAGGGAGTGGAGGGGCAGGCGCTGATCTGTTCTCTTTAGTGACCAGTGACAGGACCTAGGGGAATGGACTCAAGCTGTGACAGGGGAGGTTCAGGCTGGGCATCAGGAAGAGGTTCTTCAGTGAGAGGGTTGTCACGCACTGGAACAGGCTCCCCAGGGATGTAGTCATGGCACCAAGCCTGTCAGAGTTTAAGAAGCGTTTGGACTGTGCTTATGGTCTGAACTTTTGGGTAGACTTTTGTGGTGCCAGGAGTTGGACTTGATGGACTTCCAACTCAGGATATTTTATGATTCCACGATTCCTTACACCTGTGACACAGGCACCTCACTACAGGACACTAGTCCAACTAGTGAGTTGTCCTGTATTCAGAAATAAACAGAGACCCTTCATCCTCTGTCATTTTCCTTCCTGCTGAAGGGAGGGGACACCATGGGGACACCAGCTGTGGTGGAAGGGCCATGTTCTTCCGCCACACCACTCAAGAAAGAGCAGGTGCGGAGAAAACGTCAACCCTGAAGGTTCAGGGGGGCTGCCCTGCCACTGCCTCGCGTGTGAGGAGACCCTTCCGCGGGCGTCGCAAGCGGAGGGCGCCGGCTCCTCCTGAAGCCCCCTCTCGGGGCCAAGCTCCGCGGCGGGTCCTCGCCCTGCCTGCGCCGCCAGGGGGCAGCCTCCGGGGGCTGCGGCGGCGGCTGCGCGGTGCGCGGGGGCCGGCCCGGTGCGGCCCGGTGCGGCTCGGCGCGGCGCTTCCTCCCGCTCCCCGCCCGTCCCTTCCGCGCCTTGCGGCCGCGGCCGCTCCCCGTCCTCCCGCCTGGGGCCGCGCTGGGCGGCGGCTGCGGCGGGGCCCGCGCCATGGCGGCGGAGCGGGGGGGCTGCTCCCTGGACGCCGTGCCGCTGCCGCCCGAGGTGCGAGAGAGCCTGGCGGAGCTGGAGCTGGAGCTGTCGGAAGGTGAGAGCGGGGCCGGGGGGGGGCTCGGCTCCTCGGGCCGGGCCGGGGCGCGGTGCCTCTGCCACAGCCCGCGGGGGTGCCGGGGGGCTGCGAGGCCGCGGCCTGGCCGCCCTGCGCCGCCTCACGCCGCGCTGCGGCTCTCGGCGGGCGGCTGGGAGGACGCGGCCGGGCGGGGTGGGCCCGGGGGGGCTTCGTTCCCCAGCGGGTCCATACAGCGAGCCCGGAGCGGCTTCTCAGCACCCGGGCTGAAATGTGCTCTGCTGGGCTCAGGTCAGAGGGCAGTCAAGTTTCTTCTTAAGCAGCTATTTGGATTCCAGCAGGCGGGTAGTTCCAGAAGTCCTGTTAGTGTCTTTCGCTTGCGGTCTCTGCTTGTTGTGTGACTGGGTTCTGTGAAAATATCACCCTTTTTTTTTCTTTTCTTTTTTTTTTTTTTTGTACCATTTCTTAATAATAGCTAAGATATTAAGCCTTTAGCTACGATTCAAAATATTTTTTATATTTTTCACTGTCCCAAGGACCAGTGAGGCAATGAGGTTACATTCCTCTCCTGGCCTGGTTTCAGAGATGCGGTGGCAGACCGAGGTTTCTCTCCTGGTGCTGTAGTTAAGCCCTTCTGCCTGTTTGCTGTCCCCAAAGGCACGGTTTCGTCCTGCTATCTCCACTCATGTTTGATGATGATGATGCTCCTATGACCCTGTGGCAATTACATTTGTGTTCTTGGATTGCTTTTATTTGTTTGTTTTGTGCTGTTGTTAGACTGTTTTGGTTGTTTGGTTTGTTTTTTTGTGCGTTAGTTGCCTGGCTGGCCACATGGACAGGCAGGCTCTGGGTGCTGCAGAGCAGGCAGGGCAGGAGACCAAGACAGCGCCTTCTGGGAGCAGGTGCTCGTTACGCTTCCCCCGGCTATGTGGTTGGACTATACCTCGAAGTAGAGTAGATAAAAAGCTATTAATACTGTGGCCCTGAGGTAGAAGCAACTGATCTCCTCCTTGAGTGTTGCAGTTTTCAGATCAGTGTGTTCAGGTGGGCAAAACCTGGGTTATTTTACCTCAGGTGTGCTGGCTGAAAGGTGGTGGTTTAGGAAATGGTTCACAGGTCAGCTGTCTTTCCTCAGGTGTGGGACCATTGCTGCAGAGGTAGGGGAGAAGCAGAGGAACAGTAATGCCAGGTTCTCTGCGTTTAACCTGCTGCTGCACAGCTGCTGGGTGGCCGAAATAGCACCAGGGCTTATCACTGCCTGTGTGGGAGATCTGATTCCTTTTTTTGCTATTCCTTTTCTGCCTTGCCCAAATGTCTTCAAAGTGTTTCTGGGTAGGAATCCTTCAACATCTAAAACTATTTTATGCATTTGTGTTCTCTGATCGCCTGGTGTTTGCACGCGCTGCTTTAGCGGACGTCTCTGTAATCAATATTCAGATCTTGTTTACTTGGGCAGGAAGGAATAGTGATCTCGGATTATATATTTGTATTTTAATCTATATAAAATAGAGTACAGTACAAAATTCATATCTACTTCTGGAAAGAGTAAGTTGATACTTGCAGAGATGGTCAGTTATTTTGCTCTTCTATAGACAGGGGAGCATCCTCCTCCGAGATGGACTTATATGATGGGATTCTTAATGCTACAACAAAGCAACAGGTATTTGTGGTCTTTAACAGATCACAGTCCACGGCCACTGTTAGCTTCAGTTTGCTGAAGTTGTCAGAAGCCTTTTTCCTGTATGCACAACGCTGTCCTGAGCTCTGCGTGTGGATGTTGTAGATGGCCTCTGCCTTAACTGAGGCTGGGACTTTAGCAGGGGGGGGCATGAGCAGACTGAACAGAGGTTCAAAGGGGGATTTCTTATGGTGAATAAGCTCTAGATTAGCGAAGGTCACACTTGGAAGGATGTTTCCATAATGCGAGAGGAAGTGTCAAGGGAGGAAAAGGAAATTTGAGATCGAGTGCTTTCCTACTTTGTATGTGTATTTTGGTGAGATGTCATGCGTGCTGTGTTGGGACAGGAATAAAATATGTTCTTTTTAATTAAATTATTGTCATTTATAAATAAATCAGGGAGATGATTAAGAATTTCCTCTCCTTTTGCCTCAGGTTGTTGTAATGAAAGCTAGGAGAAGTGTTTGCCTTTAGAGGAGGAGAAAAATGAAAACAGACAATGCACATTGCTTCCTTCTGAACAATTCAAAATCTGAACTGAAGTGCAGCAGTTCAGCTTATAAGAGTTTTGCATGGGAATGGGACTCTGCCATGCTGCAGTTCTGATCTTGTGTTGTGTGATGCATCCTTTCACTTTTACAGGAGCTCTCTTAATGTTTTAAATTACAATTATTTACATTCTTTATGTAATGGAAAAGTAATAGGTGGGGGAAAAAACAGATGTGAAATTCTACTGTGTTGCTTTGTTTTAGCAGCATCGTAATTGCTTTTATTGCTTGACTAATAAAGATAAGAAGACTAAAAGGTCTGCCACAACCTCTTTGGGAGATAAGGACAATTTTGAGGAAGTCAGCAGCAGCTAAGCTGAACTGTATCTCATTAACCTGTGGACCGTGCGGAAGTTTTCCTAACTTATGACTGTAAGATGCTGCAACTTCTTGATGTTATGGAGAGATGAGTGGTTCCCTAATGAGCTTGCCAGGATGCTTGGTAAAAGCACAAAAGTGGTGATGATAAAGTCAAGTACTTCAATTCTGTATTAGTATAGTTCTCCTTGAGAGGGGAAAAAAAAATCTCCCTTTTTTTCTTAAAATTAAATCTGCAGTGGAGATTTTGTAAGATAAATGTCAAATGTGGTTGTTTTTTTTTTTTTTTAAAGCCTCCATCTCTTTTATGATAGCATATCATGTTTATGTGAATTTTTATGTCTATAAAGTATTTGTACAGCGCTTTTCGTTAATATGTGATAATGTTGAAGAACAGTTCTCATTTAGACACAAATGCTACTTATATAATTTATCCATTCACTAAAACCACATTTTATTTTAAAACTATGTTGGAATATGTTTTGACTGTTCTCTTGTGCTTTCTCATAATTTTTAGCTATATTTTTTCCATGGTATGTTACTGCAATTTGCTGGCATTTGCAATTAGATGCCTCTTTTGGGTAAGAGAGAGAAGCTTGAGAGGTCATCAAACACTTACTGTGATAGAAATAGATCCTGGTGTTTCAAGAATATATGAAGCTCCGGTTTGTCTTCTAGAGATGTTGGTTGTGGTACGTCCCTCAGCTTGTGGCTCAGGATCTCACACAACATTAGACTATACTCGTGTCTTTTGCTGGACTCGTGTTGTACTTGTTGTTACGCAGTTCTTATGAGACCAGGTCGTGTGGATGCATAATGTGATTTGCCTTCAGTAGATGTTGGACATTTGGAGACGAGTGTGGGATAATAGGCCTTCAGGCAGCTGTTTGACCAGTGTTGCAATGGTATAAGGCTTTTCTCTTTGTTTGCTTTTGTTTGTTTGTTTTTGGGGGGAGGGTGTCTTAATTTCTGATCAGCTTTAAAATGCAAATAAAAGGACTTGGGTTTTCATCTGTTTACTGAGAGTTTTGTAAGTAAGGCTTATTTTGGAACTGAACTGAAACTCCTAGCAAAGATTATCTACTCTAAATAGGCTTTTTTTTTTTTCTCCCAATTCAGTGTTCCCTCAATTCAAATAGCAGTTACCCTGCTGACTGCAAATTTGCCTGATGGTAAATTCTCCTCTTGACTTCTGTCAAACAGTCTTCAGAATCAGTCTAGAGACAAAAGTGTTTGTATTTCCTTAGTTGTAACTTTATTTTATTATTTATTTGGGGTGTTATGTTTTCCAACCCTTAATGCATCGCTCCAAAGTGTTTCCAGTACCTAGTTAAGTTAGTGGAAAGCATGACATTTTAGCCTGGGATTTAGATAGAAAGATAGGAAGTTTGATGTGCAGATTGAGATGTTTGTGTCTGCCTAGCAAAAAGCTTGGTTTTGCATAATACTGATTCAATTGTTTATTTCTCTTATAAAAAAAAAAAAATGTGTCCGACAAGGAGACTTGGTCTGTTTGTCTTAGCATCTTTTGAGATACTGCAGTTAGTATAATGCATATATCTGAGTAGAAGAAGGTGCCTACTAAGAAGGGTTTCCTGAAAAAAATCAAGATGTTTTGTGTCTGACTTTTCTGGCTATTCTGTGACTAGCAAATGGTTTTTGTAATCTCTGCTAGGCCTATACTAACTCTCAGGTTGGGTTTTAAAAATACAATTGATAACAACACTTTTTTTGGACAGAACACCTTCGATAAAATACCTAAAGGTGGAAGTCAAAACTGACGTGCTTAAATTAATTTATTGTGTTACACTAGCAGGATTGATGTGGTATTAAAATACTGCGTATAAAATCAGGTGAGGAAGATGTGCACACAAGTTAACCTGTTTTCCTTATGATAAAGTGTGTTGTTTTTTTTTTTTTCTGGTCTCAAGGTGGGAGTTTTCTATTATGAAAATCTTGAAAACATATGTGTGTAAGTTACATTTATTTACCACTGCTGTGATCATTTTAATTTTGGAAGCAAATATAATCTGAAGATAGCAATGAGAAGAACTGTTAGGACTGGAGAGAGAAATACTTTGCAAGTGGATGGCAATCTGTAAAACTTGACCTGCAACATCTTTGTTGCTTAATTTCTGGGCCTCTCCAACAGAAACTGTTAATTGTATGATAATATGTGAGGTATGCCAAATGCCCATTGGGATTAAGTAAGTCTACAACACTTGTCCTTGCATGTTACACTTGACACAGTTCTCAAGTAGTGGTTCGCTGATGAACTTCCAGGATAGTTGATACCCTTTGATCTGGTTTGCTACTGAAATAAGTCACCTTCTGTGTAAAGGAAGCAGATTTCTGATTTTTTTTTTTCAATTTATTTTATAATAATGGTCTGACAGATTTTGATTACAAAACAAAAGTGATGTCATGAACATTACACTCCTGAAATATCTGGAGAACATAATTATCGTGGTTTGACC